TTTATTTAATTTTTAAAATTAATTTTGGAATCAGTAATGTTGATTTTTGTACCACTTGAATCGTTGTTATTTCAATACGCAAATATGTAATGAGAATTCTCGGCATTAGTAGAGATTACATTAATAATAAGTACTACAAAATGCTTAAATGATTTTTATCTCACTTAATTTTTCAGTACATAAAAATTCATAAAAAATAAGTCAATTAAGCGTGTGCCCAGTAATGACTTCTGAAATCTCTCGTTCTTCGATTTAAGTGTATTAATGCGCTTTTACATTCTCTCGACTTGACAAAATGACAAAAAAAAGTACCATTGGCTTTCGCTTCCTTTCGCTTCACTTTGATCATTTCTATTTTATGTGATCGCATTAACGTAAGGTAAATTACGAGAACTAACGTGCACCTATATCATTATTAGCAAGTTAGAGCGGTAAAAATAGATATTAGCGCACACGACAATTAACATAATAGATTCGATATTTTAAAAATTTTCCTTTCTTTGTTTTGGTGTTGTTCAGATGAATACGCATTGGTTACGATACTTATTGACGGCAGCGGGTTCAGTTAATACACTACTGTTTTTGAAACTTAAGCTGTTGTCTAATTCCATCCGTCATTGATATGTAGTTTCAGGTGTTTGATATGGTTGAAAACCCTTACTTTACTGGGGACATTCCCCTTAGATATTTTACACAGCCGGAACATCTTATAGTGTGAAAAATATGTTCACCGTATTGAACACGAATTTCGCAATGATTTTACATAAAAAGCGTTAGACTACGCAGAATGCCTTCAAGCTTAAAATTCACTAGTCAGTGCATCCGAGATGATCGCGAATAATAATTGTGTTATTTTTTTGATATACCAAGTAATTCTTTTCGGATTAATTAGTTGTAATACTCTGTTCTAATTAATTGTGCTATACTTTCTTACGGATGCAGTTTAGTGCAATATTATGATCGTTTATCTGTAATCAAATTCATCAAAGTAATATGCTACATATTTTTTTGCAAAACGGCAGTCTATATTAACGGTTAATTAACATAGAAACTCCAAATGTTGAAAGTGCCTCGATTCAAAATAATACATCAGATACGATTTGTATAATTATTTTTCATATAGTTCGTCCGTATGACAAGCATTCGTTTCGCTTAATAAACGTTATTAGAGCGGATTGGCCATAAAAAAGAAGATAGAACGTGTAGATACAGCGTGTGCTTCGAGCCTCGGGCTATGAGCTTCTAACATGGTAGCTTATGATTTATAGCGAATAACTGGCTCGCTTCGATTCGCTAGACGATTATTCAAAACACCGTAGGTATTGTAACAAGTTTTTAGCATTTTTTTCTTGTTGAGATCATCTAGAGTCTTTTCCGTTCATTGTATATTTGTGCGACCTCAATGAAAAACCTTATTAGTTATTAATAACTTTTAATTATCTTCATCTATCAAGCCGTATCCATTACCGCTCTTGTTTACAAATAGTCAAATTAAAACAAAGTCAAGTTAACAATCGCTTGTAATTAAGTGGCAAGCATAAGAAAGTACAATAGTTTCTTTTCGTTTGCCCGGAGGACGTACAATTTCTGATTATTTTCTTGATTTCTTCGAGATTTGGTATAATTTTTAAATGCAAACCATGACTTTGTATTTTAACAAACAAATAACATGTTGGATTCTCACATGTTATATCCTGAAAAAAAGTACATCCAGAATTGTTATGATCTTTATCGTTTATTTTATGGATTTTTACACCATTTAGGAAATTCACTGACGTTCTCAGCTGGAGTCGCTTTTAATTTGCACAACTATGTATTACAACCACTTAAGTATAATCTAGGTTAATAAAATGATATTACACTATTACTTTTCTTTTTGACACTACTAAAATGTCATATTATTGTTTTTAAGAACATATTCATCATTAATCGCGAGAAAAATTCTCACAATTATATGAGAGTAGTCCTCCTATTGTTTACCTAGATAATAAAAGTAAATTTATTTCTTTGAAAAAATATTTGTACATAAATGAATGCAACTGCAAATTAAGGAAAGAGACACACCAACGTTTTATTATTTTTTTAATATAAAAAAAATTCTAATTCGCTTAATATACTATTAGCTTTTGTAAGAAAATTATTTATTTTACGAAAAAAAATGCATTTTCTACAAGTAATTTTTTAAACAATTTTTTAAAACATAATTCAATTCAATCTTAATAGAAATATATATCATTTTTTAATTAACATTTAGAGTTCTAAATAAATTGGATTGAAATTGTTCATATACATTTTGTGTCTATGATTAGAAAATAATTTTGGACATTTTAATGTACACTATCATATTTAGAAGATACTATTGAAAAATACTATTAAGTGCAGTGAATGTTTTTATTTAATTCTTTACTGTGATTATTTTATTATTAAGTTTAATATTATTTTAAAATTTTGTTATTTAATATTTTTATTACAATTACCTTGTGCAATTACTCGGTGTATCGTATGTATGTATATATAAAGTTATATAAATATTTTCATTTAGAACAAATAATAATTGTTGAATGTCGCAATAAAATGGACAGTTTCCAATATAATAATTTTCTTTGACGCCTATTGAAGCTTATAAGCTTTTAGTATTAATTAAATATTAAATCAGTCTTTCCACGTGGGTGATTAATTAATTTACTTTTTTAAAAGAAATCACTTTTGAAATGATCAAATATGTTAATTTGAAATTACTTGAAATTCGCGAATTTCTTATAATTTCCTGTTCTTTTAAAATTACTAAATACTACTGTTCATTTAATATGTCGGTTTAAATTATAATCACTGTTTTGCAAAAACAGTCGTCTAAAAAATATTTTATATGTATCGCTTATAATATTAGATATATTTCAGAACATTTTACTGGTTTGACGAGTGGTGTTTCAGAATTTATGTTGACAAAAATCAAACTTGTTGTTTCTTTAATCAGATTTATTATGTGTCAATGTTTTTTTATAAATATATCTCGTTCCCTATTTCTCAAGTTTTCTCTAAAAATTTCTAGTGTGAAATGAACAACTTCAGAGTATCTTTCTGATTGAAGATTCTGTTTTGATATACAAATGTGTCGGCAAATTAGCGAAATAACTGGAATAGAGTGAATACGTAATACTCGTTTCTATACAGTCTTCTTATCGTTTAACGTGAAATTAAACTAAATGTTTGTAAGATAATGTATTTTATATTAAACTTAATTAAAATATTATATTATCGTCACTTCAATTTCACTCTCTTAGCATAATGTTTTCAAAATGATAAAACTAATGTTATTTTTTCAATTATAATTTCTATGAAAATTTAATTCTATTTTGATTAACCCGTATGTTTTACACTATACTACAAAAATTATGCCTTAATTATATAATGAATGATTCGCTAATTAATTAATAATAATCAGTCATATTATCTTGTGTATTTTCTCTAACTAGTTCTTTTTAAAACGGTACGTTACATACATTTCTAGAGGCATATTTATAGTCTTTATGATATACCAGTTTTTTTTTTGTAAAAATAGTTTTATTTAACTTTACTAAAAATACTTAAAACTAGTCTTGAATCTAATTTTCATCAAATTCAACTGTCCGTTAGAAAGTGATGTTTGTCATCACGTAAACACGGCGTTAAGTGATAAAAAAGGAATTTTAATGATACATTATGACATAGTGTGTATTTAATGACAAAAGCGGAGTAAAACAAAAAATATATACTGGAAAGCAAAGTTCAAAATATCGATACTCTTATTTTATCCAAATGTTTAGAAGTCTTACTTGACTTTTAGTCCATTTGGTTTCCCTAAGTAATTTAATACGTAGATAAATAACTAAAAATATCAATAAAAATAACTACAATTAATAGCAAACAATGATTTGATTACTTAATCAAATTGTTTTAATCATAGAAATACAAACTTTGAAACTACTCAGAGAAATGCTACGGAGACTTTAACGAGAAAAATTTCTTTAAAAATAACTCAAATCAACACTACCGGAATTCAAAGAAAGTACTTATCCTATAAAAAGAAATTTTAATGTATGAAGTACCAATAAGAATTATGTAATGTTTGTTTATTTTATCTAAAGACATCTGATCATGATTTCTTTATGCTAAATTTTTAATTAATTTATTGACTTTGTAGTTTAAGTTGTCATTTATATTATGATAATAATTTCTTGGTGTTTATTTCATGAATATGTATAAACGTTAAAGATAAATGCTGTATTACAACTAATAACTCAAGCGACAATGTGTAATTTAAAAGAAGTTTCTCTCTTAAGGGGCGCCAGTATTGATGGCACATCATAATTTACTATGAACCTCCAACAAAAAATCAAGAAAATGGTAAATCAAGAATTCTAAATATTTTGTTTGGATCACGATTATGAATTATTTAATGAAAGAGTCTGTTATCGTAAAATCTTTGTATCAGACTTATTTACTTTAATACTAACATTAAACGTTTTATTTTAAATTCAAAAACGCTATCAAGAAAACCATTAATTAATAAAATCAGCGAAACTTTGTTGTTCTTTTTATTTACAAAAGTTAAAAAAATATTAACTATAAACATCAAATTCAGGTTAATGATTGTCGTTAAACGTAATTTTGGAAAAGTTTTCTTTTTGAAATGCATTATAGGATTTTCTTGCACCTCGGGGTTATGGCGATTTCTCAAAGGGACGGCGTCGTGACCTCAGGGGTTAGGAACACGTCGCTATAAGCCAAAAAAAAAACTTAAGTGATTTTCGTTGATAACTATATAGTGACTATGTAATTCGGAGGATATCCGTTGAAATCGAAACGCATACGAAGGGGAAAGTACTTGATGAAGTCATTATACTAAATTTGTGCGTTGGGAGGAAAAAAGCGTGTTCAAGTTTGGCGGTATAGCGGGTGGGGAGGCTGCAACGTGCAGCGGCTAAAAACTAGAATGGCTCTTCGTGTCGACTATCATTCCGACGTGAACAATTGACCGTTCGAAGTGCTCCCCAATGATAACGTATATGAGAGTACATTATTCTCCACGTTCGAACACGACTGTTTGCTACTGAACGCGCTGCCGACACCATCGCCGCATTACTGTGTTCATCGTTCAACCGAGTTCAGGTACGTTTCCGTTAAATTAGAAAAAATTAATGGTCCATCAAAACTGTAATGAGGCCTAGAACTCCATGATAGCTCATAGACATACTAATATACTCGATGGCATCTGAAAATAACAAAAACAATCTTACACAACCCGAGCAATTAAACTAATAACTCAATTTTGTTGTTTTTTTGCTTCTGGCCCTCCTGAACGTTCCACCGTTCATCAATTATCTTATTTCGTAGATATTGTAAAAATGTATTATTCCAGTGTCACACTGGCAAGATAATTTTCTTATGTGACAGCTGACCTAAAACACATACACTTCTTGATGTGTTTATTCTTAATTAAGTTTAAAATGCAAAGGTTGATTGAAATGGAAGTATCATTCCATTTCTAAAATGGAAAGATACGACTCAGAAATTTTACTCGAATGTAGACTAAATATAAACAATTTATTATACATTGACCATTTGAAAATATTTGATGATTTTTTTTAATCGTTAGACTTGGATCATCTATTGCTTAATGTCTTCATTAGTATAGTATTCAGTAACAAAACATGTTTTAATAATAAAAAAAATTATTCCCTCATAGCAAGTCCATGTTGTTTCCTGGATCATTAAATTTCAAATAACGGCAAGTCTATTTTTAATATAAGTGTTTATAATTTATTTCTAAAAATGAAATTACATTTTGTATTCAACTAGTATTGTACACTCAGTACGTTATATCTATAGCGTTTATCATCATGTTTTTCTCGTTATTACCTTAGAGATAAAATTCTTATTAGATTGAAAAAAAACTCTCATAAAGCATTAGTAAATAATGTCCTGATTGACCAATAATTATAGAAATTAACGTTAAGTTATTTATTTCAAATAATTGCTCTATTAGTTTTTACCAAAGGTATCTTATAACTATTAATGATTTTAGCTTAAAAATCTGTGGATTGATACTTTCAGACATCTGTGCGTGTTTATGAAAACAATAATTATTACTGCCACTCTCATAAGCAAACCATTTGCTGGATTTTCTTTTTTTTAATTGCAGAGAAAATACGCGCTCAATTAGTATTTGTCGAACCTAGTTAACAATAATAAGCATATTTTGAAGACCGCCAATTTTGGAGGTAGTAATTCAGCTTTGAACAAATAAATGCTGCATTGTTTCTCAATGCTTGTGAGATTTTAAAATAAAACCACTGTCATTATCTAATTATCATTGTATTATGTCAAGTAAATAGGGTTAAATTTCTTCGAATAATACTATGACAGGTAACACTGGGCAATATTTCTAGAACGTACGAACGAATAGCACAAATATCTGATTATTTACTATAAAATATAATTTTAAAATTGATACTTATTAAAGTTTAGGTTTTCTATCCACTTCTCTAATATATTTGTACACAGATACAGCTCTAACCCATTTACTCTCTTTATTTTGCAAGAAAAAAATTATAATTTTAAAATAGTAGAACTAGTTATCTTTTTTTTCTCATTGTTTTTTTATTTAAAATAGAGAAGGAAATAACTGTAAGAGTTTTCGATTATTATTAATACAGATGTTATTTTGTAAAATGTTAATCAATCAATAAAGGGACAAGTAATTCCTGCACAGTGAATTCCTCTGACGTTTTTTATGAAAAAAAAGTCTAAACTGAACTGGTTGTATAACAGTGATTAACTGTTCTGCATTCTAAAAAACAAGAATTTTGACATATAACAAAAATGTACCTGCCTACTACGTTAAACTTGCGTTTAAAATTAATTTAAAGATAATAGACCGCATTAATTAATATATTTATTTATATCTTTAAAACGTTGAAAATAAGACCTAACGTCAATTTTTACAAGTGAAAACTTAATAATATTTTATATTAAAATTCTAATTTTTAAAATTAATAAATTTAACACTTAAGCCGAGTGTAATATACTCATAAAATAAAATGTTATACAATATAACTGTGTCTTATTAGATTCGCATCGAGACTCCAATTAATTATTACGCGTTTAAAAATAATGCGTCGACTAGTTGTTTTTTTAAACTATAGACCATGTCTTTGGCTGAATAATGAAAACAATTTGAATCGTAGATAGAAGTCGAATTAAAAATTTGTTTAGCTCAGATTTTAATAAAATTGTATAACATATCTTAAAGCTCACGTTGCGATGTCGCACAATAGTACTAAATATTTTACCCATCTGAAAATTTATTTAACTGTAAGAACTCTCATATGATTCATATATTACATTTTTTTTTTATTTGATACATGTTTTTTCTTCTCGCTTGATTATTTTTTCTCGCCATGTCCAAACGTCTATTCATATTGGTTTTTTATGTTTTAATATTTCAGTGTCATTCCACTCACATCTGAAATTTCATTTAAAGATCCTTACTGTTTCAGTATTTTATTCGTGATCGTTTCGATCCATATACAATTTATGCTCAACACTAAACTTCATAAAGAAATTCGTCTACTGTACAGTAATTTAAATAGTAGATACCGTTGCACAGCGATAATAAAAATTTAATTCAAATCTCATAGATTTGGAAATATAATTGTTTTTATTTGATCGATAATTTGATTTAGAAACGATACTTTTTTAAACGAACATAAATGTTTACCATTTAATAATGAAAATAATAATTACACGTTTACTTCGCACTCTATAAAAAGAAACAACAAATTTTAATATTAATTATTTAAAAGTATTTTTTGTATGATAATTAATTGGCATCATTGGATCTAAAAGGATACCTGCGTTTAATGATTTTCACTTAAATTTGATGAGCGTCTTATGTTTAATTGAGTTTGTCGTGATATAACTTCGAAATGTAATTTGTAAGTTTGTTATTAAAAGGTATTTAATATTTGCCGGTATCGTGAGACATAACACGTTATGTGCTGTTACTAAACTAATTTTGAAAATGTTCGCTGCATCACTTTCTGGCAGAGCGTGAAATATTAAGACATTTAGAAAACTCGAATAGATACACTGATTAAGTTTTCGCATCAGTAGCTTAAATGTGAAAGTATAAAGCAATTTTCGCTTTTTAAGTTCTACAGGTACAAATTCACTTAATATTACAATAGTGTTGTAAGTGTACTAAATTTTTTAAGCGAAACAACACTCAACTGCAGTAATTCAATTAATTTTAAAACTGCACATAATGAATTTATTATGTTGGCCAGTAACGAGCTGATTTTTGTAATAATTATTTTACTTTGCGATGGTTCTGATACTAGACGGTGTCGTATTTGTTATTAAAATATAACTTCGAGAACTATTTGTTGAGAAGACACTGTCCATTAACGTCACCGACTACTCGAGGAAAATAATTACCTTGTCCGCGATTGCTTTTTTTCGCGTTGTGCCACACTTGTATTACGATACGTCAAAGTAGTGTGTTTAATAACATTACTGATTTAATTAGCAAAAACCGGTAGATCGATGCGCTTTTTGCCTACCGGGTAAATCGTCAACGGTACCACCAGTAGTGGCGGGTAACGTCGTACAGAATGGAACGTTTGCGCGACAAACGGAAGCAAATTAGTTACATTTATGATATTCATCTTTACACAATGTGGTTGCAATTCAGATCAAGTTTTATCCGTTCGATTTCCGAGTGAAAGTGTAATATTATCGTTGTGTTTATCCTGAGTACGCGTATTGTCATTATTGCATTAACGATGTGTGCGATTGTGTCCGAACACATATGAATATATTCCATTTACACTCTCTAATTGCATTATAACCCGAACGAATTTTCCATATGGATCTGATACACCTGAACGCGATCTATGGACCCGCACAATTTGTGTCTACATCATTGTTTACCTTGCGATCGTTTCACTTTTCACAAAAACCGGTCACTCGTCGCCCTTTACCGGTACAAATGCATTTGCTTTCTATACCTTTGTATAACCGCAAAAGAGATGCGATGCCAAACGTGTGCGGTCGTAGCTATTTGGAGCTTGTTGGACTATTGCGTCTATTTCGTCGTCTGTGACATCTGCTATCCGCTTTATACGACTACAGAAACAATTTAATAATATCCATGTTCTCGGTTTACATATATTTTTTTACAGAATTACTTAACCGTGAGAACCGTGTAGTATTTGACCTAAATAACCGAAGAACACGGGCAAACGCATAAATTACACGAAGCGGCATTCGTCGATGCCGTGTCGATTAAATTAAAAAGCATTGTAATTATGCACATGTCCTCTTAATATTAATGACAGTTGAATGGTGTCCGTTTATGACGTGCAAAGTTCTGCGCAGATGCCTCGCCTGCAGGCCAACAACAATATACACAGACTAGTTTGTGTTCACAGGACATATGTTTGAACAACTTGGACGTTTTATTATTGAGGAGGTATAGTGCGGCCAATGAAGCATTTTACTTTGAGTGGCCAATAAGTAGAACCTCGATGAACGGAAACGTCGATATCAAAGCGGTTTACCGTATACATCCGGAGGGTTTACGTGATCAAGTGGAACTGATTTTTTTACTAATATTATCAATAATTTCATGTTTGTCTTGAGCCGACACCCTCTACACACACTAATTGACCGTTAATAAACAGTGTCAGGTGGTACAAGTGCATTCGTTGCACCTATTTGCACTGTTAATCGCCATTTACACGCCATACATTAAGAACGTTTAAGTCGCACGCATGTAGTTTCGGATAAACAAAAAATACTGTTGAAAATATTTAGGAACGCGCAGATTGTTTTAATGGGCAAAGTGTAATTATGTTGTCATGCGCGCGCATTCATAATTCGACGGGCGATGTGTTGTAACGCTCATAAATCGTGTTAGATTGTAATAACAGGGTGCATCGAGTCGCAGTGCACTCGAAACGCTTTAGTGCTAATAGACGCTGTTCTCGGCAACAAATTGCCAGAAATTTGCATTTTCATTGTACGTAACCTGAATATGTAATTATCGAACTCGCGTACAGATTTCTTATCGAGTGACATCATAACAGTAGTAACGCGCTGCCCGT